CTTCAATCCAGTTGCAACTGGAGTGTTGACAATATTGCACTTGTCCATATTGAATTTCTCCAATATATCTCTCATGTACTTTTGTTGAGAAATGTAGATACCATCACTTCCTTGCTTCACTTCTATGCCAAGAAAGTATGACATTAATCCATTGTCAGTCATCTCGAATTCACTGAACATGGATTGCTTGAACTCATAGAACATTGCTTCATTGTTTCCTGTAAGCAACAAGTCATCTACATAGAGACAAATGATTAAGAACTCCCCTTTTTCACCGTTCTTCATGTAAACTGAATGCTCGTATGGACATTTCTGAAATCCATTTTGGTGAAGGTAGTTGTCAATCCTTGAGTTCCAAGCTCGTGGTGCTTGCTTGAGGCCATACAAAGCCTTCTTCAAACGATACACCTTATCTTCTTTTCCCTGTACTTGGAAGCCTTCTGGTTGTTCCACGTACACTTCTTCCTCAAGAACTCCATTAAGGAAGGCTGACTTGACATCTAATTGATAAATTTTCCATTTATGATGAGCGGCAAGAGAGATTAGCAATCTTACCGTGTCAAGTCTTGCAACTGGAGCATAGACTTCATCATAGTCCACTCCATACTTCTGTTTGTAGCCCTTTGCTACAAGCCTTGATTTGTATCGATCCACACTCCCATCTGCAGTGCGTTTGATCTTGTAAACCCACTTGACACCAATAGCCTTCTGATTTGGTGGGAGCTTTGTTAACTCCCAAGTGTCATTCTTCTCGATGGCATGGATCTCTTCTTCCATGGCTTTTTTCCAACAATTTCTTCCACAGCTTCATTGAATGAGAGAGGCTCATGGTCTGCATAGAAGCAGAAAAAATTGGTTTCTTCTTCTTCTTGTCCATAAATCTCTGTGAGACTCTTTAACCTCACTGGAGTTGAGGAGCTGCTTTCCTCACTAGATGTAGGACCACTCCTTGCAATTCTGTGCACTGGAGTTGTTGTGATTGTTTGAGCAGGTTGTTGCTCAACAGGTGGTACAACTTCTGGTTCTTCAAAATCAGTGGAGACGATCTTCTCTTTACTGACTTCTTTGTTGTTCCACATCCATGCCTCTTTCTCACTGAAGATGACATCTCTACTAACCACTATTTTGCCAGTTAGTGGGTTGTAGAGCTTGTACGCCTTGGACTCTTCACTATAGCCCACAAACACACACTTCTCACCTCTATCATCAAGTTTCCTCCTCTTGGTTTCTGGAACTTGAGCATATGCAACACACCCAAAAATTCTTAGGTGTGTAACATTCGGCTTGTATCCACTCCAAGCCTCTTGTGGTGTCATCCTCTTGACACTCTTTGTTGGACATCGATTCAACAAATAAATCGAACAAGCTACAGCTTCTGCCCATAACTCTTTTGGCAAATTCTTCTCCTTAAGCATGGACCTTGTCATGTTAAGGATGGTTCGATTCTTTCTTTCGGCTATCCCATTTTGCTGTGGGGTATAGGCAGCAGTAAGTTGATGCCTAATTCCTTGCTCCTTGCAGTATGCATGGAAAGCATTGGAGGTGTACTCTCCACCTCTATCTGATCTCACAGCCACAAGCTTGTGGTTGCTTTCAGCCTCTGTGAGTGTCTTGAACTCCTTGAAGATTCTTAGGGCAGCCGACTTCTCCTTGAGAAAGTAAACCCAAGTCTTCCTACTAAAATCATCAATGAAAGTAATAAAATACCTATTACCTCCATAAGACATGGGATCCAATGGACCACATATATCTGTGTGCACCAACTGCAGTGGTGCCTTTGCTCTCCATGTATCACCAACAGGGAACGATAGTCGTGCTTGCTTGCCAAGCACACAACCTTCACATACTTGGCGTGTGGCTTCAATTTGGGGTAGACCACGAACCATTCCTCCACTTGACAGCAACTTTAGGCCATTGAAATGAAGATGGCCAAATCAAAGATGCCATTTCCATGACTTATCTTCCATTACACCGATGTTGCAGCTTCCAATCTTTGTGTTCAAATTCAACGGAAACATCCGGTTCTTTGACATTCGAACACGTGCAATGAGCTTTCTCCTTGCATTCCTGAGAGTGAGAAGCATGTTCTCCATATGTATAATGTACCCTTTCTGGAGCAGTTGACCAATGCTCAGAATGTTGCTCTTCATACCTGGTATGTAGTAGGTATCAGAGATGTATTCTTCTCTACCATCCTTCTGGATGATCTTGATCTTCCCTTTGCCTTCAACTGGCAACTTTGAGGAGTCACCAAGACTTACAGATCCATAGGCCCCATCTTTGAGTTCGGCAAAAAACTCCTTCTTTCCACACATGTGATTGCTTGCACCAGAGTCCAAATACCAAACATCTTGTTGGCTACTGGAATCATGGTGTGCTAGCAAGACTGTAAGTTCTTCATCAGTATTTCCACTTGATTCTGCCATGTTGACATGCTCACCATTTTTATGTGAACATTCATTGGCATAATGTCCATATTGCTTGCAATTGTGACATTGGATATGCGCCTTTCCTCGAGTAGATCTCCACTCTTGAGACTGACCTCGATTTTGTGCATAGCCTCGACCTCTTCCTCGAGCTCGTCCTCGGCTACGGTTAGATGAACTCCCACGACGTGAGTTCCACTGCCCACGACCTCCATTTGGTTTGTCAATATTCAACTTTGACTCCAAAGCTTGCTCTAGCGTTGTGGGGTTTGCATTCTTCTGAATGCGTTGCTCGTGAACTAGGAGGGATCCTAGTAGCTCATCTGCGCTCATCACCTCCAAATCCTTGGATTCCTCAATGGCAGTCACCACATGCTCAAACTTAGATGTGAGTGACCGGAGTATCTTCTCCACAACTCGTACTTCATCGAGTCTCTCGCCATTTCTCCTCATCTGATTTACTATCACAATGAGCCTTGAGTGATAGTCGGAGATGCTCTCTCCTTCATTCATGTGAGCAGTTTCAAAATCTGCTCGAAGTGACTGTAATCTCACTTTCTTGACCCGATCTACTCCTTTGTAGATTGTACTGAGTGTGTCCCATACTTGCTTACTCGTTGTTGCTTCTGCAACCTTTTCGAACGTTGAATCTTCCAAACCCTGGTATAGAAGATACAATGCCTTTTGGTCCTTCTTTCGTAAGTCCTTGAGAGTGTTCCTTTGATCCGCAGTATATACGGCTTCTTGCTCGGCAGTGGGTACAACATACCCACTACTGACAACTTCCCATAGCTCCTGTGATCCAAACAATGCTTTGAATTGGATGCACCATCTTTCATAATTTTCTTTCTTCAATGTGGGAACCTGGAGTTGCACTAAATTGGACGCCATAGCTACTGCACTTGCCAGAATGGTATTCTGGCTCTGATACCAATTGTTGGTATTCACAAGAGTTTACTAACTCAATACCAAAATATGTGGGTGATAAGTTTACAAACTCTATCACACCTCTCACTTCCACTCTCAATAAAATTGGACAAAGAAATAGAGAAAGGAGGGAAGCAACAAGCTTTGGTAAAACACTTGGACTTTGATATATGAAAGAAGTAGCAAGCTTGGTGATAACAAACACTTTGAAATATTAGAAGAGTTTACAACTCTTAAAGCTTACAAGCTGAAAATGAGAATGGAAATGGGATTTGGATGATGTTATCTAAGGCTTAGCAAGATGGCCTATTTATACAAAAACAGAAAAAATAAACAATCCAACAATACATATAATGAATGATGGCGTTCCACATCTTTACACCCTTTCAAACACATGCAGCAACTTTGATAGTTGGCATACACATGCATTGCATCATGGCAGGTTGTAATACCTTCCTTTCGGCTAACACATGGAGAAACACTGCTGTCTTCCTGCTAGCACATCACATGGCAGCACACTTGCTGTCTTTCATCACCATTTCAGCTAGCACATGGAGGAAACTTTAGACTTTGTAGTTACAGCATGTGTGGATACAACCTGTAAAGAAACTAACAACTAACAGCAACCTTTTACAACCTGTTTTTATTTGAATTTCCAACAGTACTTAGATGTGGACTTATGAGCTGCAATTCTTCATCTGTCACAACCTTAGATTCTTCAGCCTAGTTCTGACTCGTGTACTGTATAGTACTCTGATTTATAGAGGTCCCCCATTCCGCTAGGCCTTTGACAATAGTCCTTAGCAAAACTGGGTACATCTACATGCATGCAGAGAGACATAAACATGCATAAATTGTAGTTGTAGACTCTATGGGTTCTAGGACAGGCACCAAAGTGGCAAAATGCTATCCTTAATTTGACCTGCTTTCAAATTGTTTATCTAGTAGGTCGATCCCTTCTTCAAGAATAGTTGATTCACATAAAAGGTTTTTCTATAATGTGGGTAACCACCTTTTTTCATAAATGTGGACATGTCATTGATATTGCTGACACCAAACAATTGTCGATATGTCACCAATAAAACTTGACCGCAAGTGCAGCTTACTTTTAAGTTACTGCACTGTATTAGAAGGAATGTGATTATAAATATCTACAATTGACTCAAATTCATGTGCGGATGTTCACATTTACGAACAAGATGTTGGCAGACTTGCAACTTTGGTCATTTGAAAAGTTTATTAAATTTAAGCGGTAAACTAACTACATCTGGTTTTTTACTGGAATTATTTGAGTTTAAAATCTAGGATCTTGGGAGTAGCCAAAAACCTAAGCACCAAGATGATTTTACACCATAAGGTAATCAATCTTGTTAAACGGGATTAGAAATGATATAATTCACCATATGTATCCCACCGTGATAACTTGGGTTGTGCTTAATTAGTAGGTAAAATAATGATGGACAAGCCTAGGGTTTATATGTGCAATATTTAATCTTTTCGAATAGATGCGTTTAGGTTTTTTTGCAGGTATATCAGGTGCCACATATAGTGTAATGTTTATTATTTAAACACATAAGCATCATCAATTAATATCACTAATTGATTCATTATCGTTTTGTGTATGTATGTTTTAGGAGCCACATAGAGATGGAAAAAAGATTTCGAATTTGGTCGTACGAGGAAGGAGAGCCACCAGTCTTCCACAAAGGGCCGATGAACGACATTTACTCCATTGAAGGTCAGTTCATGGATGAGTTCGAGTTGAGTGGGAAAAGCCCATTTGTAGCGAAAGACCCTGACGAGGCTGTCGCGTTTTCTCTTCCAATCAGTGTTGTCAACATTGTGAGATTCGTCTACAGGCCTTACACCCCCTACTCTCGTGTCCGGCTCCAGAACATTGTCGAGGACTACATCAGCATCATATCGAAGAAATATCCATACTGGAATAGAAGCAATGGAGTTGACCATTTTCTGGTTTCTTGTCATGATTGGGTATGCCACTCTATTTTGTTTCCATCTTTTCAGTTTGATTTTATAGTGCTACCACCAACACTTCCTTGTGATTCATATTTCATCTCATAAATCTCTTAACCTAATCAATAAAACAATTTGCACCATATTTACTGATCACATCTAACACAAAGAAAAAACTCGAGTATGTACGTTAGTTTCACATGATTCTTGTACGTGTACAACATGTGATTAATGATCAGTTTGGTAAATGTAACATCACTCAAATGTGATTACTAGCACATTTGAATTTGAAGACTTTTGTTAGTTATGACCTGAATTGTTGTGTCAACTTTTGGGCATGGCCAAGTTGAATGAGTTAACGATTCTCCTTATTCGATTGCATTTTTAGGCACCTGATATTTCGGCTGGACACCCTAAGCTTTTCAAGAAGTTCATTAGAGTACTCTGTAATGCAAATTGTTCAGAAGGTTTCCAACCAGTCCGAGATGTATCCCTGCCTGAAATCAAACTCCCTTTTGGAAAGGTAGGCCCTCCCCTCCTTACCCATTCCCCTAAAAACCGTTCAATCTTTGCTTTCTTCGCTGGTGGTGGTCATGGAGACGTAAGAAAGATACTATTCAAACACTGGAAAAACAAAGACAAGGAAATCCAAGTCCATAACTACCTCCCCAAAACCCTAAACTACACACACCTAATGGCGCAGAGCAAGTTTTGCTTGTGCCCTAGCGGGTATGAAGTTGCAAGCCCTAGAGTGGTTGAGGCCATATATGCAGGCTGTGTCCCAGTGATCATTTCTGATTCCTATGCGTTGCCGTTCAGTGACGTACTTAATTGGTCTAAGTTTTCAGTTCATGTTCCGGTGGCAAGGCTACCGGAACTGAAGGCAATTTTGCAATCAGTTTCCGAGCATGAATATTTGAGAAAGCAAAAGAGGGTCATGCAAGTGCAGCGCCATTTTGTGATCAATAGGCCTGCTAAGCCATTTGATATGTTGTATATGGTGCTGCATTCAGTGTGGCTTCGGAGGCTTAATCTGAGGCTGTTGAAATGATGCCAAGGTGGGGGTTTTGTACAATTATGCTAGAATTTATACAATTGTGTTTTTGAGTAAATAAATTTTGTATTATCTCAGAAACAACTGCGCTGTATTAGCCATTTAATTAGCAACGTGGAGAAACAAGAATTATTGATCACAATATTTGTTATAGGCAACCAACAATTTTTTGCGGAAAATTGAAATGTTAATATTGCAGCACGGTATGTGCATTTGTACGTTTTAGGTTATGTACCTTCAATAATAGTGATCGAGCGAGTTTGGTGGCTACTTATTCCAATGAGTGATAGGAGCATATTCATGCGACTTAAATGGCTTGTTCTCGTGCATTTACGTTATGTTTCTTTAGTTATTTTAGTCCTTTATGCTTCTTTTGTGTGTTTTCAGGTTCTAAGGGCAAAGTATGCAAAATGGTGCATTTTGGTGCATTTTGGAGTAGTTTGGGGCGTTAAATGGATTGGATATACTTGAAGCCAAGTAGATGGACGAAATTGAAGACCAAAGGAGGCCCTTTGTACCAGAAATTCACACCAACACATCCCATTTCAGATTGCATTCCAATCATTCCAGCCAAGCCACATGCACTCCCTTTAATTTATTCAACCTAGCTGTCAAAGCACATGCACATTCACCCTAATCATTCACATACACAATCTGCCATCATTCACACATTCATTCCACATGCATTCCCTTCACAAATCAGCCACATGCACTTTGCCTTTCATCATTGCACCATAAATCAGCCACATGCACCCATAATCATTCATCCAACTTTGCACATGCATTCATCATCATAACCTAGCTGTCATTACCCTTTAATCACATGCATAAATCAGCCACATGCATCTCCCATCACCATTTCAGATTTCCACCAAGTTCCTAGCTGTCATATTCCCTCCTTTTCACCTATAAATAAGCATCCATTGCAGCCACAATTCATTCATTCCCATTCATACACAATTCATTCACCATTCACGCCAGAAATTCATCCCCTCTCTATAACACATCCATACTTCACCATTCTTCATATTTTCTGCCCAAAAAGAAGCCTTGAGGTCCCCTACATCCATCCCTATCCTAAACACATCATTCTACACCATCCATAACTCCCCATCCCTCCAAACCTATCCTTAGACCTTGTGCTACAACGAAGAGGAGGAGAAGAGTGCCTAAACGTTCATACAATTCAAGTTTGAGTTGTTGGAATGTTTAGGTGTTTCTTTTCCTCGATTCCAATGTTTAATTTCAATTCTCTTTGTTTTGTACGTATGAGGAACTAAACCGCCCCTTGGCTAGGGGGGGATTCGAAATATATGTTTATGCTTGCATTTTGATTTGATTACTTCTAATTGCGTTTCATAAGTTGTGGATTCAATTTGTTTAACTGTTTGATTGATAACTTATTTATGTATGTTTATTGAGAGTATACGCTTAATTTTCATGCATGAATATGACGCTAGAATATAAGTGAGTTTCACCTAATAGTTACGAACTTATATTCACAAGTAGTGGAGGTTGCTTATAAACAATCGCGTTAAACATATTCTTGGCATAAGTTTCATGCAATCATAGTAACGAATGCCTCGTCAACACTTATAGTTTTCATGTTGCTTAATGATTCTTGCTTGTATCTCTATTATGCAATTCATGTAGGGAACTTGTGAGGAATGCTTTGGGTTGTCGTATGCAATCATCCAATTCATTAACTTAAGGAAAACTTGACGGTTAATTTAAGCGGACCTAATTAACCCGGGGCGTTGAGAATTCATGGTTTATTGAAATGCAATTGGAAATCTTTGTATTATGCAAGTGTAACATGTGTGGAGATGAACCCCTTAGCTAGCCATCCCATCCATTCAATTCCATCACATTCATCTTTACAATCTGTGCATTTTAGTTAATTTCGTCAAAAACTCAATCCCCCTTTACTTTAATGTCCAAATTAGTTAGAAAGTGTTTTAGTTTGTGTTTATAAGTGTTTTGATTCAATTTGTTATACAAATTCGTCCAAATTCACCAAAGTGCTCAAAACTGCCCAGAAAGTGTTTTTAAGGCAGTTTTGAGTGTTTTGGGTGATGTTTGAGTCTTTTGGTTTGTTTTAGTGTTTTAAGTGTTTAGTTTTGCATTCTTTGAGTCTAGTTTAGTGTTAAAGTGTCTTAGTTTGTGTTTCTAAGTGTTTTGATTCAAGTTATTACCCAAATTCGTCCAAAGTACTCAAAGTGCTCAAAACTGCCCAGAAAGTGTTTTTAAGGCAGTTTTGAGTGTTTTGGTGCTGTTTTGAGTCTTTTGGTTTGTTTTGGTGTTTTAAAGTTTAGTTTTGCATTCTTTGAGTCAAGTTTAGTGTTTTAAACTTTGTTTTTGAGTTTTTAAGTCAGTTTCCAAGTGTTTAGCAATCCCTCCTAATCCCCGGTTAAGAACGATCCCTACTTATATCTATACTACAATTGTCAAGAAGAGGGTTTAATTTGTGTGCGTATAAATCTCGCATCAAATTTTGGCGCCGTTGCCGGGGATTAGCAACTTTGCTAATCTCTTGGATTGTTTTATTTTCGTTTGTGTGTATATATTTTTAGTTTTATTTTGTTGATTTTAGAAGCAAGACATGGCACTTGATAGTGTTTCTCTTTTGTCACAGCTTATGGAAGAGTACCAAACGCAAAGAGTTGGTACATTTGATCATAATCAATCAAGGAACGACGTGTTTTCCAATACTTACAATTCGGATTGGAGTGATCATTCAAACTCTATGTGGTGGGAACCTCAACATATTCAACAAGAAGGATATTGGCAACCATATGAGGAGTTCTATACAACACCTATGCATCCACCACAACCTGTCCAAACAAATTCAAGTGAGTCTTTGTATAATGATACGGTTAGTAAGTTACTCACCAATTTGTCTCAGGGGCAAGAAGATCTAAACAAAGCAAGGCAAAATCAAGACAAAAGGTTGGACTACTTGGAAAAGCAAATTGGGCAGATCGCGGAGTTCGTAGGACAATTTCAAGACCAAGGCAAACTCCTTATTTCAACCATTGCAAATCCGAAGGAAGGATTTGAAACTGCCTTGAGAAGTAGCAAGGAGGTTGGAACGGACCCTCAACCATCAAAATCAAATCACAAGGAAGAGGAATACACCCAACCCACGGCAAGAGTGGAAACACCTTTGCCGGAGGCACCTATTGCTCCTACGCCATCTAATTCAAGTAAGGTTGTTCCAAATTTAATTAGTTCTAACCCCATTCCACCTAATATCCCTATTCCTTGCAGGTTCATGAATTCCAAGGAAGAAGAAAGTGAAAAAGACACCTTGGAAGCCCTTCCAAAGGTGAAAAGTAGGGAATATCATGAATTCATTAAAGAGGACGTTCTTGAGATAAACAACCCCAAAGAAGTTGAATTTTATGACACAAGACAAGGACCAATCCTCACATCAAATCTAACCAAGTGCAAAGTCCCTGAAACGTTCAAAGAAGGGGTGTTTATTCTTGAGTTCTTATTGGATCACATAAGTAAGCCACCTCCTCCAATTTCAATTTTCTTTTATACTAACATGTTGTTAATGATTCAGGCATCCAATCTTGAATTTAAACCATTACCGGATCATTTCAAGTATCACCTTCCATTCAAAGATCAATTCCATGCCGTTTGATTCAAATAGAAAAAAAAAAAAAAAAAAAAAAAAAAAATTTCATATATTAAATAAAATAAAAGAACATGGCAGAATGATGGAGCCTTCACAAAGGATGTTTACGTGAAGCCCTACTACGAGGCATCGGAGCGGAAGGCATCGGAGCGGAAGGCATCGGAGCAGAAGGTATCGGAGCGGAAGGCATCAGAGCAGGAGGCATCGGAGATAGAGCGTTCCAGGCCTCAATACTTGGCGGAATGCTGGATGACCCAGGAAAAAGGTGCCTCTGGAAGAAAGACGCAAGTCTTTGACGGTCACTTTGCATTCGACCTTGAGATTCTTGCATCTCATCAAGCTTCCTCTTCATGCCTGACGAATAGTTATTTGCAAGCACATGCAAACTTCTATTCTCGTACTTAAGCTGTTTGATCTCCTGCTTAAGACTCTCCACCTCCGCCATCAAGGATTCAACCTGACGGGAGCGAGCAAGTAGGCGTTGGCCCATGTTGGACACAGAGCCAGCACACTGAACGCTAAGAGCCAAGGACTCTTGAACGGCCAACTCATCGGACCGTCCTGAAAGCAACTGACTATCTTTTGGAGTGAGGAGGTTCCTTGCTACTATTGTAGCTGTTGTGGCGTCCTGCATCACGGAGTCTTCACCTGTAAGAGGACCGTTAGAAGATAAAAAAGAAGGGCGCCATACGTTACCTTGACGCGGCGCGCCCGTATCACTGCTTCTGCTGAGACTCAATTCTAAGCTAAGGTTCGATGGGTTTGCCATTTTTTCAAAGGTGTTCAAAGAGAAGGGGTGGATGGAGTTAAATTTCAAAGGGCCGGAGACAATTTTCAAAAATGGGCAGTCTTCGGAGTGTGTATGTTGGTGGTGATCGATAGCTCTATAAAAAGCCAAGGCGACGCGTCCACCGATTCAAAAAGCCGGAATTTCCTGCGTAAAGTTCGGCGACGTTCTCTCGGCTTTTCAGAAACGCGTTCAACTTTGTCAACACGTGGAGGCCATCATCGCAACTACACATCTTTAGCCGACAAGCGCAAAGTTCGGCGACGCTTTCTCTACTTTTCAGAAAACGCATGCAGCTTTGTCAAAAGAGCCGCACCCGCACTACTACGTGTCGTTCAGAAAGCGATGGGGCGTCGCTCAGAAATCGAAGGGGCGCCTGCTCAGAAATCGAAGAGGCGTCGTTCAGAAATCGAAGAGACGCCTGCTCAGAAATCGAAGAGGCGTCGTTCAGAAATCGAAGAGGCGTCACTATTTCAAAAAGCCAGATTTGCGGGATCAAAACGTTTGTCGACAAGGGTAAAAGAACAACACCACCACTTGCTATTGGGAAATCCCTATATATGTCGACCTTCATCTTTTATGGCAAGGCAAACCTGAAGAAAATGCCCAACTCTTCCTC